AAGGGGACCGAGAAGGACCCCCACCAGCCAGGAAGCTGCCCGGCAGCAGATCCATCCTGGAGGTGGGGTGGGGTGGGGGCTCTCCTGGGGATGATGGCTTGCCTCCCCTCTTAGGGGCACCTATCATCCCTGCACCCTCCCGACCCAAGGAGGGTGGGTGCCGAGAGATTCTTGCCCTTGTTCCTGGGCTACGGAGTCATATCTGCTTGGCTGCCGGGAAGCAGAATCCCCGGTTTGGGGTCGATCCAGCTGGACTTTTCTGAAGCCCACTTACCTGCGAGTAAACCTTCCACAAAACCCCTCGTGTACGTGTGTCAACGATTGCATGCTGTCTACTTTCATCAGAGCTGGAGATTTAAAAGTCCCCCCCCCCCAAAAAAATTCCATTTTTCCCTCTGGGAAAAAAATGGAAATTTCCAGAAACTTTACATCTCTACTGTAAATTTCCATTTTTCCCCAGAAAAAAAAAAAGCCACACATCAGAGCTAGGAAGCCTTGCTTTCATTTCTGGTGGTGTGGGATTATGATAGACAAATGATTTCCGCCTACCCCAAAGCTGTGCTGGTTAGGTCCTGCAGTTCAGAAGAAATGTGTATGGTGGAGGAAGGGACAGCCAAACTGGAAATTTATTTATTATTTTCCATTTTGTGGATGGTTGACATTTTCCCCAAGAAAAATTTCTCGTCCAAAATGCTTTTTGGAAAAAAAAATCTCTTGTGACTCTGAGGTTGTTGAAATTCTGCCACTGCTTTTGGTGTGTGTTTGTCACGCTGGGTGTTTCAAATGAACTGGATACTTAAATTTCCAAATACTCGCTTATTTGCATTTTGAGTTTCTTTGTAACAGTTTTTGGCTGCAGACAGTAAAACTGGCAACATGCAATGGAACATATTGTTAAATTACAGTCCTGTGCATGACTAACTGGTGCCACGAAGTGCCATTGACCTCAGTGAGGCTTATTTCTAAGTACACTATATTTGCATAAGTGTGTGTTGTGGGCATGGACCAAACACTAGATGCCTATTTTTGAGATGCTTGAATACACACGATTTCTGTGCCGTTCGGTTGCTCCCTTTTTTGCATGCTTTTGAGCGATGCACAGAAATGCATTTTATTTATATCAGTTGTAGGCTGCAAAAAAAGGCAAATTATATTTTGGGATGCGTTAACAGAAGTATAGTCTCCAAATCTTGTGAGTCCCCTTCTGTTCGGCGCTAGTTGGGCCTCATCTAGAGTATTCTAGTTTTGGACATCACACTTTAAGAAGAATGACAACAAACTGGAATAGCTTCAGAGGAGGGCAAGAAGGATGATCAGGGGACTTGAAACTGAGCCCTAGGAGGAAAGACTGAAAAAACTGGGCATGTATTTAGCCTTAGGAAAAGAGGACTGAGGGGAGATCTGATAGCAGTTTTCAAATACAGTGGTCCCTTGCTTGATGACATTAATTTGTTCCAGCGAAATCGCTGTAGAGCGAAAACGTCAAACGAAATTAAAAAACCCATTGAAACGCATTGAAACCCCTTCAATGCATTCCAATGGACTGAAAACTCACCGTCCAGCGAAGATCCTCCATACAGCGGCCATTTTCGGTGCCTGTCTAGCGAGGAATCCGTCCTAGAAAACAGCGGGGCACCATTTTCTTCAGCTGGTGGCCATTTTGAAACCCGGCGATCAGCTGTTCGCTGATCGTCGTAAATTGAAAAATCGGTTCCCGAAGCAGGGAACCTATCATCGCAAAGCGGATTTTGCCCATTAAAACCATTGCAATAGTGATCACAAAAAAGGCATCGTTAAGCGGATTCGTTGTTAAGCAGGGCACAACTGTACTTGAAAGGTAGTCCTACAGAGGAGGGGCAGGGTCTGTTCTTGATCATCCCAGAAGACAGGACACATAAGAACGGGCTTTAAGCCCTGCTAGGGTTGAACTGAAACAAAAGTTCATTTTTAATAAGAATTTCCCCCATCATTTCCAAATTCCTTTATATATTGGCTGGAAAGAATCTGGGACTTGAAATATTTGAATGTGGGGGAAGCAGAAACTTTCAGATCCGTCTGTCTGATCCTGGGGATTTCAGTGCTTAAACTTCTCAGAGCTGGTCTGTCTGCACCCCTGTTTGTTGAACCTTGTCAGTGCTGGATTAGGTTTGGGTCATCTGTTTTCTCCAGGGGCAGCTCCTCTTTAACACCCCTGTGGCCACCAGATACTTTACGGGAGGGTCTCTCTGCGGTGAAAAGGATCTGTGACTACTAGATGGGTAGAAATTCTGTTTCAGTTCGTTTTTTAAGATCTGACCAAAATCCACAGATGACATAGGGCCTTAAGAAAGAACCTGAGTTTTTTTAAAAATTCAAATTTAGGAAGAAGTGACATTGACAGACTTCATGATCTTTCTATCCAAGAGAGGGTAGCATTCTGTGGACCTAAGGAAGCACATACAGTTGTGTCCCGCTTAACGATTGCCCCGCATTATGACAAATCTGCTTTATGACGATGTTTTTGCAATCGTAATTGAGATTGCAAAACGATGGTCTAAATGGGGGAATTTCGCTTAGCGATGATCGGTTCCCTGCTTCGGAAACCAATTTTCGCTTTACGACGATCTAAAACAGCTGATCGTCGGGTTTTCAAAATGGCCACCGGGTGATTAAAATGGCTCCCTGCTGTGCTTAGGGACGGATTCTTTGCTATACAGGCAGCGAAAATGGCCGCCGTATGGAGGATCTTCGCTGGACGGTGAGTTTTTAGCTCATTGGAACACATTGAACGGTTTTTAATGCATTTCAATGGGTTTTTTAATTTCGCTTTACGACGGATTTTCCTGGAACTTATTATCGTCGTTAAGCAAGGCACCACTGTAGTTATACTCTGCTAGCTCTGCCACTTTTAAAGTGCCACAGGACTCTTTTTAATAAATATGGCAGTCTTCCCCAACCCTGGTATCTTCCATCCTTGTTGACGACTACAACTCCCATAACTCCTAGTCAACATGACCAGTCATGCTGACTGGGGAGGATGAGTTAGCTTGGCCAAGACTGTTGACATTTCTCTTTCTCTAGGAATGCAGCTCCTTAAACTAATGGAATTATTTCCTCCATTTCAGATGCTGGTCCTGGAGGATTATGCTGATCCATTTGACACCAGGCAGAAAGGCAGCTGTCCAACAGGAGAGCCGGAGAGGATGAATAGCGAAGGCTACATGGAACCGTATGAAGCTCAGAAATTGTTGGCTGGTAATGTACTAACTTGGTATTGAGTCTTACTGTTTCTGAACTCTCTCTCCTTGTCCCCAGGTTAGAATCAAGGACTCTAAAATACAGAACATGATGTTTTCTGCTTGATAACCTACTGCAAATCGGATCCATGTTGCTAATACTGTAGAGATGGCCCTGTTGGCTCCATGCACATGAAATGGGATTTTATTTACTTATTTATTTAACTTGCAGTTAAAGTGCATAACATTCTAGGGACAGTTTACAACAGTAAATGCCATCAAATGAAAATGAAACAAAGATACAATGTAAATTAACAAATCATTTGTTCCCTAACACAAACAAACTTGACTTTGAATTAAATAAACATTTAACCAATGTAAAATCCAAGGTCAACAGTAGTTAAAAGCTGCTTTATAAAGGTAAATTTTCAGCCATGTCTTAAAGACTTGGAGGGAAGGAGCCTGTTGAACCTCTTTTGGATGCTTATTCCAAAGAGATGGGGCCACCACCGAGAAAGACATGATTTCTTTTAGCGTCCTTCAGTGTCACTGTTCTTCATATCATAGACTGTGAAGAATGGGTGGGATCGGTAGCTGTTTTGTAGGAAAGATAAATTACAGTAGGATCCCTGTAGCTGCAGGATCACTATCCACTGATTCACTTATCCACGGTCTAAAAATATTAAAAGAAAAATCAAAGAAATGTGTATTTCCAAAGATGAAGCTACCAGAAGTGGCCACTAGAGGGAGGCAGAGATCATGCTATGTATAAGGTTCCATATACAGTGGTGCCTCGCATTATGACGTTAATTCGTTCCAGTGAAATCGCTGTAGAATGAAAACGTAATGCAAAATAAAAAAGCCAATAGGCATGCATTAAAACCCGATTAATGCATTCCTATGGGCTTGAAACCCACCGTCCAGATTCTCCATAGCGCGGCCATTTTCGCTGCCCGTGCAGCGAGGAATCCGTCCCAGAAAAGAGCGGGGAGCCATTTTGAAACTGCCGATCAGCTGGCCGAAAATCGTTGTTTTGCGAGAATCGGTTCCCGAAGCAGGGAACCTATCATCGCAAAGCGAAATTCCCCCATAGGAAACATCGTCGTAATGCGATTTCGTCATTAAACGGGGCACTCGTCTTGCGAGGCACTACTGTAATCCATGTTTTTCAGTATTCGTGGGGAGGCCTTGGAACCGATTCCTCATGATATGGGGTTCTTGATGTCCTGTGAATTGTGGAGCATCAGTTTGGGACATGTTGCCATATGTTTCTGTATCACTCCTTGGCTGTTCCTGCAACTGGGGTTGGCTCAAGGAACCAGGAATATATCTTCAGTTGAAAAGATAGTGCCATGGTGGTGGCGGCGGAAACATCTGCATCCCCAGATGTGGTTAGATTGTAGTTCCCGTCAGCCCTGCCCAGTTTAACCAATGGTCTTTCTTCCCAGGTAGCTCTCTGCCTTCAGCCGTCCCTGCTTTGGCTTTTCGTTATACCTATGGAATCCAAACATTCAGGGCTGAAATCCACAGTAGGGATTTTCAAATGGAGTTGTATTTTTTATTTTTTAAACTATTTTTCGCTCCAGAAATCCAGAAAAAAGACTCCCAGGAAGAGCTGGCGTCTCCAAAACCTCTGCACCTGTATGACATTCCCTACGAATCGGAAAATGGTTTGGAGCCGAATTCGCCGCGCCCGCCCGGCGCGAAGTGCCGCCACTCGTGGCTGCCTGAAGATGACGAGCGGCCGCCGGAAGAGTACGACCAGCCTTGGGAGTGGAAAAAGGAGCGGATCTCCAGAGTCTTTGCCGGTCAGCCACAAAAGGGTGTAGAATGGTGGTTCCCAAACTTGGGTCGCCCAGTGTGTTCATGGACTGCAGTTCCCAGCCTGGCTGGTTATGAACTCTTCCGGGAACTGCAGTCCAAGACCCAAGGTGGAGAACCACTGGTGTAGAAGAACCAGGGGCAGGATGAGGGGAAGGGACAGAGGCTTTAGTTTTGGGGCAGGGTAAAGCGGGAGGGCAGGATCATCTTAATTATTTTTCATCTGTCGGACTGAGAGCCAAGGAGCCCGTAAGCCCAGGGCTGAATCCCTGCCCTTTTCCCTCGGCAGCTGTAAGTTGGGTAGAGTTGACAAGCTGATCTGAACGTTCCTTGGGAAGTCCACGTTTAATCTTCTCCCACCATTGTATGGGAGCCTTTTCATGTTCAAGATTGCATTCTGCTCCCTGCAGATACAGTGGTGCCTTGCTAGACCTTTACCCCGCATGACAGTTTTTTCGCTAGACATTGACTTTTTGCGATCGCTATAGTGATTCACAAGACAGTGATTCCTATGGGGGAATTTCGCTGGACAATGTTTGGTCCCTTCATCGCAAACCGATTTTCGCTAGACAACAATTTTGACAGCTCCCTCCGCGCTCGCAAAACAGGTGTTTTCTGGGCCTAAGCTTTGCAAGACAGCGATTTAAACAGAGAGCCTGTAAGCCCGGGGCTGAATCCCTGCCCTTTTCCCTCGTCAGCTGTAAGTTGGGTAGAGTTGACAACCTGATCTGAACGTTCCTTGGGAAGTCCACGTTTAATCTTCTCCCACTATTGTATGGGAGCCTTTTCATCTTCAAGGTTGCATTCTGCTCTCTGCAGGTATTCCAAATGAGAAAGATACACCCTCTTTTAGATGGTTGATCCAGGTTTCCCCTTCCCCCAATGGCAAAGCGGCTTCCCTATGGCCGATCTTCGCTAGACAACGACGATTCTTCCCCATTGGAATGCATTAAACAGGTTTCAAGACAATGATTTCACTAAACAGTGATTTCAGTGGCACAGATTATCATCGTCTAGCGAGGCACCACTGTATTCCAAACGAGAAAGACACACCCTCTTTTGGACAATTGATCCAGGTTTCCCCTTCCCCCAATGGCCATTGGCCATGTTGGCTGTTGATTTCCGGGAGTCTTTAGTCCAAAACAAAAGGAACTTCTTTTAAACCCTGAGGATATCCACCCACCCTCTCTCCAGAATTCTTTCTCTTTCCTTTCCTATGGCTCTTCCAGTCGAGATAGAAGGGAACAGGGAGTTACCGTGGCCCCCGCCGGTTGGACAGCTGGATAGCTCTGTTAACCATGCAGACGTGGATGCACCTCCCGGCCTCCAGAGCGCCAGCCCCAGAGGCGTACCGCTAAACGCTCCTTCAAACCTCCAGAACACCACTGCCAGCCCTGAACACTCTGCAAATCCGTCCAGTCCCCTGGATATCAGTGGTGGGTATTCTCTGTTCACAAAAGCTGGGCATTGGGGATCTGAACATTTGAATGTGGATGAAGGGGTTATAATTGGGGGCATTGGCATTCTGTCGGGCTGTGTTAGGAACCAAAGGGGAACTCTGGATCTTGGAAGCCTGTGGTTTTCCCAGTTTTGTTTCATTTTGCTTTGCTTCGTGAAGAGCAAGCTTCTAGATTGCACTTTTCTTTCTTTCTTTCTTTCTTCTTTCTTTCTTTCTTTCTTTCTTTCTTTCTTTCTTTCTTTCTTTCTTTCTTTCTTTCTTTCTTTCTTTCTTTCTTTCACCATGGATGTCTTTAGACTTTCTGAGGAATAGAAGGCTCTATTCTATTCCATATATGTGCTATATATGTATATAAAAAATTATATAATATATAACGTATAATTATTAGAATCATTATCTGAAATACATTTATTGAATGGTTCAGCCATGAGAAGCTGGGAAGGACCTGGATGTGGCCGCCACGGATCCAGGAGTTAAACTGTCTGCATACCACAAGCCCCTTTGTTTGCATCTTGAGTCTGTGCACTGCAGGATGATGTCTGTTTGCTAAGTACCCCTCAGTGTGTTCAGTGGGGCCCCTCCGCCTTCCCTTACACAGCTTCACATTTGCAGTGTTACAAAGCTTTATTTCCTCTTTGGTAAATCTCACTCTGATGTCTCGTCACTTTTTTGCCTGCACCCTTTTGTCCATTTGCATCCCAAGTCTGAGGAACCTCTGGGAATATAGCCCATGGGGACTGTCCACTGGAAATAAAATTTACAAGGAGAAAATATTATATGAATTAAATTAAAAGTATGTTGGGAACAGAGCATCTTCTTTGCTCATTTACCCCCCTGCATTCTCCCACATAAGACTTCTTGAGTCCCTGGATGGATATTTTTGAGCACTGCCTCTTAAAGATAATGTCTTCCAGGTAGTAAGGTAATACGGGTTCATACGAGGAAGCAATGAAATACAGTGGTGCCTCACATTCCGACGTTAATTCGTTCCAGCGAAATTGCTGTAGAACAAAAATGTTGTAAAGTGAAAATTAAAAAGCCATTGAAATGCATTAAAATCTAGTTAATGCGTTCCAGTCAGCTAAGAACTCACCGTCCAGTGAAGATCCTCCATAGGCGGCCATTTTTGGGTGCCTGTGCAGCGAAAAATGGCTCCTAAACACAGCGGGGAGCCATTTAGAGCACCCGGTGGCCATTTTGAAAACCTGACAATCAGCTGTTTTGATAGTCGGGAAGCAAAAATCGGTTCCCAAAACAGGGAACCGATCATCGCGCAGTGAAATCCCCCCATTCAAAATGTCGTTTTGCGATCGCTTTTGTGATTGCAAAAACCTCGTTGTAATGCGGATTCGTCGTTAAATGGAGTGCCCGTCTTGCGAGGCACCACTGTAATATTTTTTAAACCTCACTTCCTGTGGGAAGGTGCTTTTGTGGTTACTGCCCTCATGGTTTAGTGAGAAATTGGGATTGTACTAATACATCCTGGGGAAGGCCAGTCACTCAGTGGAAGAGTTTTCATGAATAAGGCCCCGTATTCACTCCCTGGTATCTTGAGACAAGACTAAGAAACACCTATGTCTGAAACACAGGAGAGCCACTGCTGGTCATGATCTTCCATCGAAAGGTCCATCACTGACAGCAGCCGCCAGTTGGGTGACTTGTGGGGAATGTTCTGAGGAGCCCGGAATGACTCTGTGGAAGCCATTTTCCAAGATGGCTGCCAGCCACGTTCTCGCTGCCCCTCCCACAAGCTGTGGCACCTAGATTTATGGATTTATTTCACAGGATAGGTTTGTAGGTATGGGAAAGCCAATGGCAACACCCTCAAAGCGTGTCGTTGCACCTTTTCAAGTTAGGTAGCAACGTATCAAATAAAAAATTACTAATTTTCATCTGGGAAAATATCATAATTAGAAAATGGTGGCTGCTGGTCAATGGTGCTCATCTAGACAGCCTAAAACAAAGTAGTTTCCTAACTTTCGTGCACAGTTAGCAGCCCAGGCCTCCTCATGGACTCCTTTCCCCCCCCAACTGTAATTTGTGGCTCCAAGTTACTTTCATTCCTTTCACAACCCATCGCCCGGCCTTGTGAGGTCGCTCTCGTGCTGCACCCCGGGGCCCTTCCATCACCCGTTCCTCATGTCATGCACAGTTGTATGTTTGCACCCCTAAGGCCAGGCGACCGTGAAGTGTCAGCTGCCATCTTGCGTGGAGAACAGCGGCAGCCCCGGTCGGTTGAGCATGGAGCATGGGCTGGCGTTTGGCGAACGTGTCAACCCCGCTTTGCCCCTGGAGAGCCAGGCGTGAGTAGTCCGGGAGTTGGAGAGGAGGGTGGGTGGGCACCCCACCGACCCCCACCGACCCCCNCACCACCACCATCACCACTTTGCCCTTGGGTACCCTGGGGCGTCATACTCTTGACACCACGCAGCCTCATGGACTCATCTTGCATGTCTGGCCCTGCTGAGGCTGAGGAGCTCAAGCTTCCATCGTCCCTCCCCATCCGTGAGACTTGGCAGGGCTGACAGGAGAGGTTATCCAACAGCATCTGGAGGCCAAACCCGGCCGCTTCGACGGTGCACGAACAGGAAATATTTTCTGGGGAACCGTGGAAAGCCAGCATTCCATTGCTAACTGAGCTCTGCTACTGCTGGTTTCAGCCTTTTTTGGTTTTAATATTGTAACCCACTTTGGGCCCTTTTGAGAAGGAGAGAGTATAAGTAAGGTAGGTAGGTAGGTAGACAGATGGACAGACAGACTGACAGTCTAGATCAGTGTTTCCCAGCCTTGAGTCCCCAGGTAAAGGTAAAGGCTCCCCTTGACAATTTTTGTCCAGTCGTGTTCGACTCTAGGGGGCGGTGCTCATCCCTGTTTCCAAGCCACAGAGCCAGTGTTTTTGTCCGAAGACAATCTTCCGTGGTCACATGGCCAGCGCGACTTAGACATGGAACGCTGTTACCTTCCCACCGAGGTGATACCTATTTATCTACTTGCATTTGCATGCTTCCCTCATCTACAGGTGGTACCACGGGACCTTGAGCCGAGTGGATGCCGAGGGTCTGCTGCGCCTCTGCAGAGAAGCGAGCTACCTGGTGCGGAACAGCGAGAGCAGCCACGATGCTTTCTCCCTTTCCCTCAAGTGAGTGGCCGAGAAAGCAGAGGGATTTCCGTGGGTCAAGCACCGTTCTCGGCTGACCAAGGTTGTTTCTGGGGTTTCATTCAGGGCTGGCTGGGGAGTGAGCAGCGCCCCGAGAATGCAAATTCCGGGAACCACCAGCTACATGTCACTTTTCCAAGCTTGGGAATGTAATTTTTTTACAAGTTCTGGGTTGAGGGAGCATTGAGGACATGTAGACTTGGCTACGTCAGGGAGGTGTGCTTTTGAGGAAGCCAGCCAGCTAGCCGTGCGCCTTTTGAGCAGATGCCGTGACTTCTCCCACAATGTCTTCCCGTCTCTTCCTCCCCAACACCCCAAACAGCTGGCATTCTGCGTCCGCTGGGCTTGGCGGGCCCTGGGCAGGTTTCTCCTTCTGAAGAATTTGTACCTCGCTGTCGGGCTCCACGATGGCGGCTGATTCTCCCTTCTTCTATGCCCGTGTGGTACCATTTTGTCTACAGTAATATCCACACTCGGAGGAAGACTTGGATAAATTAATAGAAATTATTACATGCTGTCAAATCAATACCAACTCATGGCGGCCCTTTCTAGGCGCTTCCCAGGCAGAGTATGTAGATGCGTGAGTTGGATAATCGAATAGACAGGATAACAAGGATTACAGTATTGTGTATAAAGATAGAATTGAAACAAAAAGTTGCATCTTTGGGAAATGTCTTTTTGGAAATTTTAATTTTTTTGAGTTTGGAACACAAATTTAAAAAATGTTCCTAATTACAAAGGACATTTTCAATGGGGTTTGTTTTGTAAGTTCTGGAAGCTGGTGCTAAACATAATGCCTGCAATTTATTTAAAGGAAGATTTATGGTTTTTTTTAAAAAGTAACCTCTAATAAATAGTTGTTGTTAACATTAACATTAGCTTTATTAGCCTTATTAGCTTGATTGATTGATCAATTGAGTGATCACCAATTGATTGATTGATTGATTGATTGATTGATTGATTGATTGATTGATCGATCAATCAATCAATCAATCAATCAATCAATCGATCAATCACCCCATTAATGCAAGCCCTACTCTGGGTGGTTTACAGTTTAAAGTGTAAAACCCCAGAAAGCCTCAAATCAAAAAATGCTATTTGGATGGGTACATAATGGCATTTCTGCTTTATCTGAGACATGTTCAAAGATAAGACGACATCATAATTGCATGGACGGAAGGCAGATAATGCCGTGACTTTGCTGAAATAGGGCATCTTTGCCCCATATCATTGTGTGGAGAGGAGACTTGTTAGGAAGTTAGGAACTATGTGTACACTGTCACCAGCCCTATGATGGAAGAAGAAAGAAAATATTTAAATATAATAATGCAAGTCAGTCGGCCCACTGTGCGTGCACCGTGTGGGAATTCTCATCATTGGGGATATCTTGGAAAAGAGTATTTGAATGTAATAAGCAGCCCAGTTCTTTCTGTTATGAACGAGCCAGAAGATATCATCCCACTGGAGTCGGCATTTAAGGTCAGGGTAGACTAAGGGTTATCATCTTGGAACTGCAGAGCTGGAAAGGACCCTAAGGGTCATTGAGTCCAGCCCCTGTCAGGGAGGCACAAGTGGGGAATCGAACTCCCAACCTTTGGCTCCACAGCCAGATGCCTTATCCCGTTGAGCTGTCCAGGAATTGCCTTCCAGGTGTTGTTGGGACAGTATCCTCATTGACGATGCTGGCTGCTCTGGCTGCTGGAAGTTGCAGAACAACACCAAAGATCTCCTTGGATTTCTATTTCCGCCCTGAGCCGGGGAGGGGGGGGGTTGGACTAGATGGCCTTACGGGCCCCTTCCAACCTCTATGATTTGGGTGTGGTTGAACTTTGGTCATCCCTAACTTAGGTCCTCCAGAACCATCAGACTAAATACTCAACGAAACCTGAGAGACAGGAAGAGGAAAAAACACGACCGTGATGTTAACGGACCCTATTATCTGTGCTTTGCAACTGCCTTGGGGTGGTCTTTGGTTTCGAGATCTGATTTTTGTCTTCTTGATTTCCCTTCCCTGAAGGAGCAGCCAGGGCTTCCTCCATATGAAACTCTTGCCCACGGAAGACAACAGGTTCGTCCTCGGTCAGCACAGCCCGCCCTTTGACAACGTGCCTGAGATCATCCACCATTACGCCAGCCATAAGCTACCCATCCAGGGGGCCGAACACATCTCCTTGCTCTACCCGGTCACCGCCCAACCCTCCAGCTGCCTTGCAGCGGAGCCGTGACTTTGGGAAGGATGCTGTCGGACGCGGGGTTAACTGGGCTGCAAGCATAGAGGATCATGCCAGGAGAGAGTGGGGGACGTATGGGAGGGGAAACCTCTGGACCACAACGGGTTGGTTGCGTAGGCTGGGAGAGGAGGGGTGGGAAGTCCTTGGCTGCGGGAACCAAATTGGGAACTCCAGGCCCCGGAACGGTGATGTCTTCTGCTCTGCATTGACTGTATTCTAACTGCATTGATTCTTTGCATGCTGGGCTGCGGGGATGTTTGGGCGGCCCGTGAATCCCCGCAAAGTGGAAGGAGATCATCGGTGCTCGGATTGGAAGGGTCAGAATTACAGAGGGACCTGGCGTCGTGAGTCTTCTCCCCATCCTGCCTGTTGGACCAGAGCATCCACCGACTGCATTCGCTCGTATTGTCCAGTGTCAATTCAGATCTTGAACTTTTCCCCTGGAGGTGGCTTGGGCCAGCCGTTCCCTACCCGGTTCCTTCTGCCGTACGGTGCAACCCGCTGCGTGGTGAAAGGGGCCGTTTGGGGAAGGCTGGTTGACAGATTTAATGGCGGGCCATCGAGGCCTGAGAGAGTGAGACAGGGAACGCCAAAAGCACGGAGGAGCTGCCAACGTCCTCTTGGTGGCACAGCTGGCTTGACACCTTATTTCTCCCCTAGTTACGTATAATGTCGTTCTGTCATTGCTCTCTCCCGTGACCCCCATCAGCCACAACCTATACGTGGCCAGGAGACCGTGAAAGTGTCTGATAAAGAGATTTAATGCCTTGTGGGGTTTCCTTGCTCCAACCTATGCCTTTACAGAAGAGGCCGCTCTACCGCAGGATGGGGAAGAGAAGCAAGTGGGTTGTCTCTTGTGGATTTGTTGTGGGTGTCAAACCCAGGCAGCTGTCCTTTGGGGGTTTGAGCAGGCTACGGCGCTGGTATCTTTCCTGGCACGTGGCTGTCTGCCCGTCTCGTCACTGCTGCAGAATGTGAAGTAGGTGCTTCCGAAACAGCAAACGAACATGGAAGATTCGGATCTGCTAGCCGTGGGTCAGGAGGACCGAAGGAAATGAACCCAGCGATAGGAAAGATGGACAGATTGCAGCGCAGTGGCAGAGAGCGCCAGCTTTTGCATGCAGGCGTTTCCGGGTTCAATCCGCCTGCTGGCAGATCTTTGAAAAAACGTGACTTCTGTTTCGCTTTGTTAAGTCCCAAAAATCCTTCTGTGGCTCTGCTCAAAAGGCAACGCTAGGGAAGGGCAGAAAAAAGTTACTGTTTTGGACTGCCACTCTCCGAAGCTCTTGGCAGCAGGCTGCTGAGGGTTCTGGGAGTTGGAGTCCAAAATGTGGCTTGTCCCAAAGCACTGACCCTGGGCTCCATGGAGGAGGAATCAGACACGGCAGAAGGCAGCCCGCTTCTGTTTGTGTGAGGGGAGAATTTGTGCATGCGTGGGGATCCCTGCTGTTATCCATTTATTCCTGATACATTCTGAAACTTTCATTTGGTACAAGTTCAGGAGCCTTTTATTCCTGGTTTCTGCAGACAGTTTTTTAAAAAATTAAATTGGATGACATATCTTAAGTTGCTGGAATGTTCTTTCTTCCTGCCGGTAAGCATGCCTGCCTGAGCCTTTACATCTTCGCTCCCCCCACCTCCCCACCCCAAGTCTTTTCTTGGCATTATAGTTCAGTTACGAAAGCTGACAGGGAAAAAAAACTGATTTATTTGAAATACGGTGCTGGAGGAGAGCTTTGCGGATACTCTGGGCTGCCAGAAAGATGACCAAGTGGGTCCTAGATCAAATCAAGCCTGAACTATCTCTGGAGGGAAAAATGCTGAAATTGAGGCTGTCCTACTTTGGGCACATCCTGAGAAAGCAGGGTTCTCTGGAAAAGACAATAATGATGGGAAAAGTGAAAGGCAGCAGGAAAAGAGGAAGACCCAATACGAGATGGAATGATTCCCTAGAGGAAGCCACAAGCTTGAGTTTGCAAGAGCTGAGCAGGGCTGTTGAGGACAGGAGATTTTGGAGATCTTATTCATGGGGTCACTACAAGTCAGGGGTGGCTTGATGGCACATAGCAACAATAATAACCCAGCTTTTATTGCTGAAAAAAGAGCTGTCCGGTGTCTTGGTGGGAGCAAATTAACCTCCCACAAAGATCGATGGCTCCTGGTTTAAGTTGCCAAGCTTGTCATCTCTGGATTTGAGCAAAAATTTCAAGAGTAGCACATCATAGAAGGGCTGCTGTGGTCTCGTCAGCCTGTGTTATCTTGTGCTTGCACTGCTAGAAATCTGCTTTAAAATGCCGAAGGTTTGGATGTTTTGAGAGAGGTAGCCACCTGGATTGGTTTCGGCAACCAAGGAAACAGAAGCGTAAGTGTTGTGACCCCCCATCAAGACTAACAAATACATTTCATAGCGAACTTTTAGGGATGCAACTCAGATCTTCCACATCTAGGACACATAGAAAATGGGTGTTGGGTTCTGAGCTGTATTGGATGCCTGCCGCGTGATATCTACGCGAACCTGAAGTGAGCACCTATCTCAGAGAAGCCATATGCACGACTGCACCTCTTGGGCTCAATTCTTTCTTACAAAGCACAGAAGCCTTAAAGGGACAAACTTCAAACTGGGCACTCTCCCCTTCCCCAGGGTCTCATTTAGAAGAGTGTGGAATTTTTTTTTTGGAACCTGAAGTGTGAGGTAGCAGTAAGCCCTTGGCCATACTCTGAGCATACTTCATCCTAAAGAAAGGAAAAGCAGAAAAACAGAAGCAATGAAGAGGAAAGGAATCAATAAAGTCCTCAAGTCTCTTATCAAGTTAACAGTATTTCGGAGAAGGGTGTGACACTGTTTTGTTTATTACATCAATTTATGTACTGCCCCAATGAGCACAATGCACTGTTCTGGGTGGTTAACAGTAGATAAAATTAAAGAAACAAAAGGGTGAAAATGAAGCAGATAAAAATAGTTCCTAAACATTACAGATCTCCCAGTTCCTGCTGTCTTCTTGCACCACTAGATGCTGAAAGCATTAAGTCTCCTGTCCAGGGTAGGGTGGCCAGATGAAAAAGAAGGGTCCTGAACCTTTAACGGTGGCTTAATCATCACCATCATGGGCCTGCAAATCAATTCTGACTTGGGGTGACGCTTTCCAGGGTTTTTGAGGTGTAGAGTCCTCGGAAGTGGTTTCTGGGGGCACCCTAGGACTGCGCAGGTACCCAAGGCTACACAGGCTGGCTCTTCTTCCTCCTGGAGGCACACAGAGAGGAATCAAAACACCCCCATCCTGTAGCTCAGCTGCCAAATCCCTGAAGCCACCTGAAGCCTATTCGGCAGGTGCAGCTTTTAGCACAACTTCCCCTTCCACTCAGCTGATAAAGGTAGAGCCCTCTCCTTTTCCTCAGATCACTCAATTTAGGAGGTAAGGGAACATTGCAATATTTTATTCATGTTCGACTGGTCATTTATGTGTCTTTATGGAAGTCTTTGGTGACTGGGAGTCATTCATTTCTAAGATATATACCTGTTTTGATCAAATGAGGCTAAAGAGCCTTGCGATAGAGGAAATGCACTGAAACCTCTGCCCAGTAGCCCTTGTTGGGTGGGTGAGGCCAGAGTGGGGTTCCCACCGTTCCAAGGCAAAAAGAAGCTGGAAATAGCAAATGGGAAGCGGGCTGTCCCCAGTCTGTGTTTCCTTGATCATGCGCAGGGCCCATCTGCTTTTCCTTCATCCATGTTCTTCTTTCTAGAGAGAATGGGGTGCAATCTCTTGATTATCTTCTTCTGATTAGTGCTCGAGCATCCATGCTCCCCTCACAGAGCATCTCCCAAGTCTTGATTGACGAAAGATAGTTAGAGATGTGAGCTTCTTTATTTTGTTTCTGCCGGTTCCACCGGTATCCTTACCCCATCAGTGATTCCAACCAAACTATCTGATTTTTATCTTTTAATCATATTAGAAATATACTCTGTTTGCATTTCTTTGGGTTTTTTTAAAATTACAGTAGGACCTCCTTATCCGTGGGATCAGTATCCGCTGACTCGCTTACCTGCAATCTGAAAATATTAAAAGACAAATCCCAGAAATATACATTTCCACCATGTCATTACCAGGACTAGCCAGAGATCATGCTATGTATGTATAGCATTCACTGTTAAAAATAACGTTTGCTGTAAGCTGTGTTTTTCAGCATCCAGGGTCCTATTGTAGTGCATTTTGGTCCATCTTTTTAAAAAAAATACAAGCCAAGTTTGTGTTAAGTTAAATCGTGTCACTCTGTGACGATGAATGGAACCATTCAGGGGTTGGAAAGAGAAGACTGGGTAGCCTCAAGAATCAGCATCCTCTTGAGGGGTGGTAGTGGATTTTATAAGGTGGCTGGAAAGTTAGCAACAATTTACCATTGCGAATTAAGGCGTTCAACTCAAGTGCGTCAAAGCACCAAAGGCTTCTGGCTAAGAATCTTCGAATGTATTTCCCCAGGCAGTTTTTACTGTCCCGGTACACTGCTTTAGCTATTCATATTTTCAAAAGCTACGCACGCTTGGGCACCTCTTTTATTTCTCCGAAATGCACAGTAAACCTCGGAAATGGGGGAAGTTGGGTTTTTTTTTTGTCCTGCCACCCTCTTGGCTCCCCAAGAGGTCTTTCCCCTGGACACCAAGAGCCATCATCCAACAAGTGGCCTTGTCGGATGATAGGGAGGGTAGTCCGACAGGTCTAGAGGGGGCTGGTTTGGGAGAGATTGTTGTTGTAGGCACAGCGAGTGCTACCCTTACGGGGAAGGGTGTGAGAGAGATTACTGTCAACACATCCCTTCCTTCTAGGAAGGCAGCCAGCCAGCCAGCGTGTGTCACGACTTAGCAGCCGCCCCCTGGTCTGTGGGGGCCGAGGAAAAGCTGTTGGGGGTTTGGAAGGCAGCCACCGCGGCTTACAAGAAAAGGGAGGGGGGGGAATGTAGGAACGCGTCAAAAGTGAATCGTCTGTGACAGAAAGATGGGCTGCCCTGCTTTCCAAGAATCAGTGCCTGACTGTTTAATTAGACGAGGATTTTCCTTTTCCCCCGTGGAGATCTTGGGGCAAAGGATATGTGTGCACTTCGGTTACAACCTGGACTAATGCATCATAGCCAATGACACTACAAGCTTTGAGCTGGTTTTAATTTATAAAAAGGCTAAGCTAGCTCAAGGGCTGCGTCTCCTGTTACAAGTCTGCCTGGGTGTTACGTTCATCAGGAGAGGCCTATCTCTTGCCACCTTCACAAATGCGTTTGGTGGGGACCCGGGAGAGGGCCTTCTCTGTGGCTGCTCTTTTAGGCTCTGGAACTCCCTCCCACTGGAGGCCCGGCTGGCCCCATCTTTGCCATCTTTGCTATCCTTCCGCAAGCGGGCAAAGACCTTTCTCTTCAGGCAGGCTTTCCTTAGTGGCTCGCTGTCTAGGAGACAAGAAGCAGGATGGTTTATATTTTGTGGCCTCTAAATCTGTTTTTCATACGCTCACACCTAACATTTAAAATATAATGTTAATTCTTCCTTAATATTTGAATGATCTACTATTCATAGCTATTTTGTTTTTAATAAAGTTAACTAACTGCCTTGAATCCTTTTTTAGGAGAAAGGTGGGGTAATGAATGAATGAATGAATGAATGAATGAATGAATGAATGAATGAATGAATCTGCTCCCCAGCCTACAGGGAGATTCTCAGCAGGCCCCCATATACCTTTGGTAGCACCTGAACTTTTTCATTTTGTGTGGGCCTCTGTTAGGCCAGAGCGAAAACCTAGGATTTGCACGCTTCGCATTGCTAAGTCAGCTTTCTTCTAAACAGTTCTGATGAACCTTGTTGTTCCCTTGAGAGTTCAGACGTTTGGGCAGGAGACAAACCCCTTTTCTTCACTTACTGCAAGATGCTTCTGAGACTGAAGGAACTATACCTGCAGCCATGACTAAGTGCATTCTGGCCTCTCTTGTTAATATATTATGTTACAAATATTAAAATATATTTAAATTAATTATAATATTAAAACACAATGGCCTGAACCCTATTAGTATTCATGTATGGTTTGTATAATTTGCGATGGCTTAACTGTGGCTAATTGATTAGGTGCTGGGGCACCTCACGGGCCTGATTGTGCAATTGTGATGCACCCTTCCACCTTGTCAATTAGCTGCGATTAGCTGTAGCAAAGCTACACAAACTTTCCACCAATACCATAAAGGTTTTGGCCAGTTAGAATTAAACACTTCCAAACATTTCAGTGAAAAGGCTAGTGAAAATTGGGGAATTGCTGTCCAAGAACACATGGGCTTACCCAAGGTCGGGAACCACTGATCTAGATGGAGTAAAGCCATTGGTCCATATTCTCAATTAAATAAATATCACTTTGACCTGGGAAAACAAAGGTAGAGCATGACAAGAGCCAAAAGGTTAGTGTGGGATGAATGGGGTTTTTTTAAGCAGGCAGGTTGGTGAAAGATAAAACATTACAGGCATTATAAAACAACATTTTGTTAACAGGAAGTTGATAAGAAGTTAGGAAATGAGGCCACAACCCATCTTCAGCTGCTGGTAGCCCGTTGATCCCAACTCAGGGTTTATCATGTGGATCATGGATATATGATCCCCATGGATATATGATCCCCATATATTTACCCCATTGTGAGCTACTGACCCTGGTATTCTTCCTGGCATCCGGGTGCCTGAAGCTCTGATTGGTACCACCTGTGACAAAGAGTGACAACCCCCCCCCCCAGTTTTACCTTTTTTCTTTTCAATGAAACTCCCAGACATCTTCAGATGTTCCCTTCACCATCTGACATCTCCTGATTTGCTGGGTCCATAAAAGCAAAAGCAAACAAATAGGAACACTGGGCTTCCTGAAGATTTCTCCTTTTGCACCCCGGGCCACGTTCTCCGGTTTCCCCAAGTCTGTGCCGCCTTCTGCAATGCCTGCAAGGGGGGGCCTTCCAAAGGCAGCTGGTCGTCCTAGGGCTGTCCAGTGAACCAACAACTGATGGTCAAGGCAGTATGGCTGGAAATCTTGATGCCTTTGAAACCTCCTCTCTGCTTTTGCTGTTCCTCTTTGGGTAAGGCTCCCACCCCTGGAGGTTTTGAGTGCCGACGGCCAGGCCAACCATCGAGCCGCGGGCTTCTTGGGTGGCTAGTGAATGCCTCGCAGATGCCACCCTGTGCGGGCACTTCCTTGCGTGAGCTGCTAGCGCGGCCTCTCCCTCCCTCCCCACTGCTGCCGCCTTCTCACCAACCCACTCTCCCAGCCGTGGAGAATCACATGATGCCCAGGCTGGCTGGCTGGCGCTGCACACTGAGCATGGGTAAAACCATCTGGGCCACTGCGCTCCTTTAGAGAGAGCGACAAAGCCAGCCACCGGGTGCAGCCAGCCGAATAAGCCCTTTTGTTTGCTTCCAATCATCCTCCCTGGCTGCTCTTTTTTTTTTTTT